CCATCAAACTTGCCATGTGTTCTCCAATGCAAGAGTAGTTTCTTTTCAGAAATTCTTCCATCACTACTTTCTTCTCAGTCTTAAGCCATTTGCTATTCCTATATTCATCTTCTCTCTTCTCTGGAGCTACAATAACATCCCCAGTCTTTATGATTTCCAAAGTTGTCAATACTGACTGTAGACCTCTCTTTCCAGCATCTTCTTCCCTCTGCCCTTTTTTTAAAATCCAATATTGGGATTCTTTTATTAATGTTCCATGTTAGCATAGATTCTTCTCAAGTTACATAAATAACAGGATTTCCTTCAGTCAAATGTGCCTTATTTCCCCCCTGTATTTACTTCACTAACAAGTTTCCAAGTAACCTTTATAGTCCAATTCCACACAGTATTTTGAAATTATAGTCCAATTCCACACAGTATTGTGAAAGTCAGATTAAAGATGTTCTTTTGAAATCATATTTCTAGATCCACACAACAGATTTCCCTGAGTATTTTCATAATTTCAACCATTTCCTTTTCCAGACTAATGTGCATTTCTGTATGTTTAGCTTTCTAACAATCACATACATGATGGTTTCCTGTAGCTTGCATCCATTATTCTGGGTCCTATTCTCTGGAGCAGCAGAAAACAAGCTAGCTCTATCCTCAATATGACATCTCTTCAAATATTTAAGCACGGCTGTCATATCACCTTTTAACCATCTCTTCTTTAGGCTAAACATACCCAGTTCCCTAAGTTATTCCTCATAGGGCATGGTTTCCAGACCTTTCACCATCCTCCTCTGGACTTGCTCCAGTTTTTCAACATCCTTTTTGAATTGTGGTGCCCAGAACTGGACACAGTATTCCAGGTTCCTTCCACCCATGGCAATTGTTACTGTTTGCAATAATATCTACAAGGATTTGGGTTAAAATTTAACATGTTATACACCACCCCAATTGTATGGCAGATGGGCGGGATATAAACAAAATTTATTATTATTATTATTATTATTATTATTATTATTAAAATTGAGGTAAAGTTAAAGTTATTCCCTTGACATGAATGTCCAGTCGACTGTAGGTGGTGGTGTTCATTTCCATTAGTAAGCCAAACGATCAGCATTGTCCAAGGACTGTTCTGGTGGTCATCTGATTAGCATGACTGCACCAAACACTGTTACCTTCCCACTGAGAAGCCGTACCAATTTATCTACTTGCATTTGCATGGTTTCAAACTGCTAGATTGGCAGAAGCTGGTACTAGTGATGTGAGGTCATCCAATCATGCGGCACTCGGGCTTCTAACTGCCAACCTTCCAATTTTACAATCATCAGAACTGGCATCTTAGCCAATAAGCCACCACATCCCTATTTAAAATTGAGACTGATCTGATTAATCCCTTGTTTCATCCCTAGTCCGAAAGAATATTTTCACAGTAGAGGTGGACAGTCTGCAGGTTCAAAATGTGGCAGCCAGACTGGTTGCCAGAACATCTAGAGTGGACCACATTACACCAGTATTAAAAGCTCTTCACTGGCTGCCGATTAGCTTCCAGGTGCAATAAAAAGTGTTGGTCACCACCTATAAAGCCCTACATGACTTGGGTCCAAGTTACTTGAAGGAACACCTCTCTCCACGCAATCCGTCCCACACCCTCAGAACATCAGTGAAGAATTTATTAAATTACTGTAAAACTAGATTAATATCTACTTCCCAAAGATCATTCATGGATGCAGCACCCAAGTTACGGAATGGCCTGCCAAAGGAGATTCATCTTATTTCCATGCTAGAGGGCTTTAAGAAGGC